AACCCTCTCGCACGAAGCCAAAAGTCGGGTGAAACCCCTCTTAGCCGGAACCTTAGATGCTTTTCAGAAAAGGGGCATAAAAATGAGAGACCCTTACCGTGTTGTGGCTGAAAGTTTCTTCTAAAAAAATATCGTCATCTGTTCACCTTTTAAATATAAAAGGAGAATAATTTTCCTTTTTAATTTTTTTCCTGGATGTATTGGCATACTTTTGGAAAGTATTTGGTTTAGAAAGGGTAGTTTTGGTATAATAAAATAAGAAATGATGCATTAATTAGTTTAGGGACATTTTTGTCATTCACTTTAACGAGAAAAGAAAAGTGTAGTGTAAGTGGAGAAAAGTGGAGTGCTAATATTGCCTCCCTTATTTTATTATAAAAAATATTCCAAAGTTACAGACAAACAAGGTGAGAGACTACATGAGAGAACTGAGATATAAAATTTATTTAATAAATCAATTAAAAATAATAATAATTTATTAATTTAAAAATAATAATAATAACTTATTCAACTGCCATCACCAACATACTTAAATCAACATTTTTTTAAAAAAAAAAATACTAGAATGTAAACTTAAGCCTAAGCATTGATTTAATTAATATTTTCAATAAGTTCATTTATTAAATACTAAACACGGTTATTAAAGTATATTAATTACTTTGTACAAAAAAAATGTATATTAACAAAAAATTATAAAAATATATATTGATAACTTATTATTATATAAATTATTAAGCATATCAATTAACTTATTATTATATAAATTATAAGTATGCCATTGCGAAATTGATACACAATAATTTATACACTAAAAAATTAACAAGTATATTAATTGATAACTATATTTTGTTTATAGATTAAATTTTTTATTTTTAATTATTAATATATTTATTAAAATTTTTATATAAAAGGCTTATGAACTTGGCTTATAAAAGTGTAATGTTTATACTTTCAATTTGTATTGTGTAAATATAAGTTTTGTTGGACGGTGTGAATGGTGTGAATTGTGAATGCAATCCAAGTTTTGTTTCATGGTGTAAATGGTGCGAATTGTGAATGGATTGGATTGCATGACTTTTGATTATAAAATTCTATCATACTTTGTATATGTTTTTTAGGTACAAAAATACAAAATTCATAATAGATCAATCTGCATAATACATTTAAGATATTGGAGAATACTAAACAAGATGATATTTTATGATTGGAAAGTCACAGATGCGCCATAATACTTTTTAGAGAGAGAATTTTTCAATATTCTTTTAAACTCGCCATTGGGGCTAATCTAACCCAAATTATATAGAGTCGGATCCAATCCAAATTCAATGTGGGTCGGTTGGCTCAGCAAGGCTGGACTTTTAAATTTGGGTGGGTGAAAATTGACCATTAGTGTTGCATTTTAATATTTTTAAAAAAGTTGAATATGAAGAACATTGACCACAACTTAAAATTAATTACTCTCTTAATTTTAAATCCTTTTTCCTTCTTTTTTTTTTTTTTTGTGAGAAATACATAAATTTATTTTATAGGGAAAATCATTTATTTTACTTTTCTGAATTTAAAATTATGTTGGCTAATGAGTAAACGAGGGTCTTTTCTAGGATTTTTGTGAAATTTTTAGGGTTTAGTGTGGGCACTTTTATAATTATTTAAATTTTTGCATAAAGAATAAAATTAATTGAAAATTAAAGCGGGAGCAATTACCCTAACCACCGTACACTGCTCTCCCTTCTCCCTTAATCAATTCATTTGGAATGAAGTATTCAAAGAAACTTGATGTAACGCTTTGGGCCTGAGTCCGCACGATTTTGCTCTTGGGAAACTTGATGTAACGCTTTGGGCCTGAGTCCGCACGATTTTGCTCTTGGGTTTCACCCTTAAAGGCCTCATATTAATTGGAGATGACATAGGCCTCATATTAATTGGATGTAACGCTTTGGGCCTGAGTCCGCACGATTTTGCTCTTGGGAAACTTGATGTAACGCTTTGGGCCTGAGTCCGCACGATTTTGCTCTTGGGTTTCACCCTTAAAGGCCTCATATTAATTGGAGATGACATAGGCCTCATATTAATTGGATGTAACGCTTTGGGCCTGAGTCCGCACGATTTTGCTCTTGGGTTTCACCCTTAAAGGCCTCATATTAATTGGAGATGACATAGGCCTCATATTAATTGGAGATGACATACTTACATATAAGCATGACAGTGTTTCTCGCACCCGCCCACAAGGTCATCACAATCCATCCCCCTTGGAGGCCTGACGTCCTCGTCGACACACTTTCGGCTGGGTCAGGCTTGATACCATTTGTAACTACTCACTGCACCACATGGTATGATATTGTTCCGCTTTGGGCCTGAACCCGCACGATTTTACTCTTGGGCTTCACCCCAAAATGCGTCATACCAATAGGAGATGACACACTTACATATAAGCACTTCATCTTTCCTTTACTCAGGCGATGTGGGACTATGCACCCGTAGTGTCTCTCACACCCGCCCACGATACAGCCGCCTGTAAAGTCACCACACTCGACTTTACAATCATAAAAACCAAACATTTGAGTAAATCTAACAATTTGCATCAGAAGGTTTGGCTACTCTTAGGGTTTGGTAATTACATGTGTGAAACCGAAAACATATGTGATGGGTGGTGGATTATGAATGCCTTAGAGATTTGACACCACCATCATTGCTATATATATATATATATAAACTGCAGCCTTATAGAAACTAATTAGCATGGACAGCATGACACATGTTGGTAGCATACCTTCAGCAGCCAAAGAAAAGAAGGTTGAAAATAGCACTCCACAGAGATTCTCACAAGTGCCATTAAGGGAAGATTTAATAAAACTGAAGAAAAATTAATTCCAATAATATAAATTAGAACAACTCTAGACTCTATCTCTCATCTGTCATTTGATCTGAAAAACATAACATACTACAAACTCAACCTTTGGCACAGTTTTTTTTCTCTTGAAATTGCTTACAGGAGCAGATGGCATTGCAGAATTCTTCACAGGGAGGAACCAGTGGCTTAACCAATGCTCATAATAAGCTAGCGAACCAACGGATTTAAATTCATTTATTCAAGGAATATAATTTTAATTTATATTTAATAGTTCTTATTTAAAACGTGATCGACGGAATTTAGACAATGATATAATTTTTTTTTTTTAACACCTACAAATGATATAAATTGATTTGATAGCTTCACATGTGTAAAAGAAGCTTATATAAAATCTGTGTAGATAAGGATTTTGGTTGAAATTTCTTGGGATTTTTTATTTATTTATTTCATTTAAATGTTGAATCCCTTCATTTGAAATACTTCCGCTCACATGAATGAACTGTTGGGAATTAAATCCCCTTCATTCGTTTGGTGTGACTTTAACATGTACCTACCATAAGAGATATACTAATTTGAAATTCCATATAACCTTGAGACTTGAAAGTATTTTTTTTCAATTTCAAGATACCAATTTTGTACTCTCAATCACAGTTTTAGCATCATTCAAGATTTTTTGGGTTCATATTTCTAGATTTTGCCTAATCATAAATAGTAAGACAAGTAGACAATGTATATATACATATATTTGAAGAGAGGAAAAACAACATACGATAAGTTACAAATACGTTGAACACACCGTTTGTTTGGATGTAAAATATTTTGATCTTATCATTTAAGTAAAATATTTACTGAATAAAATATTTTATCAAAACCTAATAAAAATAATTTGGATTTGGTTATGATTTTTTTTCTTCTCCAAATACCAAAATATTAAAATAAAATAAATATTTTAGTAAAAAAAAAATTTATATAAAAACTATTTTACATAGAAACTGAGTCCAAATCAAACATAATTTGGTGGCTACAGTAAAATCTCACTACATAAATTTATTACTATGTGTGATGCCCACCTGAACCATGATGACAAATGATGCATACGTGTAATGTTTATGCTTTTGTAGATTTGTCAAGCACCATGTCCAATCTTATCTGCTGTTATAATTTCATGCCATCTTCAGTCTTTGCGCTTGTATGCGTCTCTAATCTCTATTTATGTATGAATTATGTCAAAACAAAAAAGGCACAGAAGTTAGTGGCGGACTTAGAAATTTGAACACGTGTATTGTGTCATTTTGGTCAACTTTTTGAAGTGTTACATCATGATTTTCCTCCGAAAGAGGCTATGGTGGTAGCATTTTATCACATTCAGGGAAGGTGATAACCAGCCCATGTTTCCAAATGATTTTTTGTAATGAAAAATAATAATAAGAATAATAAATTATTTAGTGAAAAAATGACATTGCGTGGGACCCATTTTAATTAGCTGTCTGTGATTAGTAACATCGATTTAACAACCACGGTCAACTTTTTGAAGTGTTATATCATGATTTTCCTCTGGAAGAGGCTATGGTGGTGGCATTTTATCACATTCAGGGAAGGTGATAACCAGCCCGTGTTTTCAAATGATTTTTTGTAATGAAAAATAAGAATAATAAAAAATTATTTAGTGAAGAAGTTACATTGCTTGGGAACCATGTTAATAAGTGATTAGTAAGATTGTTATAGCAACCACAATTGCTTTATGTTTTTATTTTGACCGAAACAGAAGTTATGTTTTTGTATTAGAGTGCGTTCAACATTATTTCAAAATTTGTTTGGTAACATAAATTTTTATAAGATTTTTAAAAGTAAAAACATAAAAACATGTTTGGTAAAAAATGTTACAAGTTTGAAAATTTGAATGGTTAGTTAAAAATGTTATTATAAATTTTTATTTTTTTTGAACAGTACTTTGCTATTGTACAAAAGTAAACAAAAGTATCATTTTAACACTTTTGAATTTGGCCTCAATTTTAGAAGTGTTTCGATACTATTCCAATGACGACAAACATTACCAAACATTCTTTGTGTTTTTACTTCACTACAGTATACTAGCAAAAAACAAAAAAACACGAAACAAAAATATTAGTCAAACTTCGTGTATCCACCGTACTGTTACATTTTTACGCTTAGGGCCCGTTTGCATTAGAAATATTATTGAAATAGCTAAAAAAAGATCTCAAATACAATTCAACTAGTAATTGGAGAAAGAAAAGCTAAAGTCATGGGAGAAATTCTCCCAAAACAATCTCAACCAAATCCTAACATGTAAACAAAAGCATGTAAACCCTAGCAAGCCAAGAAAAGAAGCAATAATCCCCCATGAGCCAACTTCACAAAGGGTCTTGCTTCCTTGAGTAAATGCTAAAACTTCAACACTGAAATGAAATGGAAAGCCTTCCTACAAGAACCTAAATACAAGATAACTTCCCAATTTTAGTACCCGACTTTTCCATATCTTGAATGGTTCTCGATTTTGAAGACAGTCGGACACATTCGATTAAATTCACGTGAATAGGAGATGACATCTTTACAAACTCGTCATATTTAATGATCTCATGATGACATCATCCCTCCTCACGTAAAAATAGTCACCATGAGATTAACTTCATTTCCAAAAGGAAATTCTAAAATCTTAGACTCTGCTCAACACTTCTTCTTCTGCTGCTTGACCTTGTTTCTGATATTCTCCTTCCTCAAGGCTGATGCACTTGTACCACTTGGCGCAAAACACATAGGCCACAAAATCAACAGCTGTTAGGACTGCTATAAGGAAGTAAAACCTGTCCATATGGCCACTATTTAGGTTTTGAGGGATCCAACCTGGGCTGCTTCCTCTAGCTGTGATCTTCATCACCATGTTAACCAACATGCTACTCACATAATTGCCAAGAGAAATCGATGCCATGCACAGAGAGCTTCCGAAACTCTTTATCCCATCCGGGGCTTGCCCATTGAAGAACTCCAACTGTCCCACATACATGAAAACCTCTGAAGCCCCTACAAGAACATACTGTGGAATCTGCCAAAATACGCTTAAAGAGCTCGAATACTTGTTTGGGATCACCCTTTTCAGCCTCTCCAGCTCTGTGACACCGGCTGCAATCATCGCTAGCATTCCAATTATAAGCCCTATGCCCATCCGTTGGAGCTCGGTTAAGCCCTTAGGGTTTCCACTTAATCTGCCAGCTACTGGCACCAGGATTTGGCGGTAAATCCCCGTGCATATAAGGACACTGCAGATGTCGAAAGCAGACATGCTAGCGGCTGGAAGGTGGAAATTTCCGACGTTGCAGTCCATGGCTGCACCTTGCTCAACAAAGAGTGAAGCCATCTGAGTGAACACAACAGAGTATATGATGGTGCATAGCCAAATAGGTAGCATTCTTATAATACACTTGGCTTCTTCAACTTGAGTGACAGTGCAAAGCCTCCATGGGTTTAGAGGGCCACATCTATCCTCCTCTATTACTATTGCAGCCTTGTCCAAACACCTGACCATGTCCAAACAACATATAAATCGAAATAATTAATTCAGCTTTTACATACACAAAATTGTCCTAAATAAATATAGATATTAATTGGCTTGTGTTCATGCTTGTTTTTACATTAACATAAAATCGTGGTAATAAAAGATTGTGCATACTTACTCGAACTCATTGGTGTGGAGTATCTTCCTACTCCCTTTGATTGCAGACTCCGATCCTTCTACCTCATGTAAGTCATCATCCTCGCCTAGATCTTCCTTACATTTTTTAAATGCAGCGACGAATACTTGAGCAACACGGGGCAAAGGGTTGCCACAAGGTTTGATATACCGGTAACCAGGTGACCCTAACAAGAATAACAATAGGGCTAGAATAGCAGAAAGAGTGGACACCCAAAACCCCAAAGTCCATTTTCCCGTATCCTCATAATAGACCAAAATGGTATTTGAAAATAAGGAGCCAACATTGAGTGCAAAGTAGAAATAGCAGAAGAAAGCCCCTTTCAAATTCCTTTCTTTAGGATTGTTCTCATCAAATTGGTCTGCTCCAAAGGTGGCTATAGTGGGTTGGTGCCCTCCATATCCAAAGGCCACCAAGTACATGGCTAAGTAAAATATGCCTATTCCAATTGATGAAGAAGGCGTGCAACTTAGTTCTCCATCACCACAATCAGCAGGTTTGATCAAGAATAGCCAAGATGATAGTGATAAAAGCACCAAACCCTGGTCAAAAAGTAAAATAATTTGCTTAGAATTTTTTAGATATGACATGAAATGTTTAAACAAAGTGACTATATGTTATTGAACTTATATTACCAGCACGAAAACAAGTTGAAATACAGCGCAGGTCAAGTAACGTCCCCAGTATGAGTCGCTGAGGAATGCTCCTATTAACGAACACAAATAAACAGTTCCAGTCCATTTGCTGACATTGTTGGCTGCAGTCGCATTGTCTTGACCAATAACTCTGTTCAAGAACAACACCAAATTCACACCAACACCAAAGAAAGCTAGTGTTGCAAGGCCTTGATTTGCTGCACCAAAGAGAAGAAAATAACAAAATTTCCCATCACTTTACACATGATTGTTCCGAAAAAAATAAATCTAGCTTGTTTCTTGAATAAAAGTTGATTGTGAGTGATTCGATAAGTACCCAGCAAGAGGGCTGCTGAATTCCAGCCGCCTAAGCCTTTGCTCTTAATGCAACCTCCAAGTTTGAGAAAGCTAATTATCTTCTTCTCATTCTTATTGAAATTCGTATTAGTAGCTTCTGATTTTCCGAGGCTTTTATTTTCTTCTCTGGCCTGCTTGAAGAATAAAATTCATTAGTTGTAGAAACTTTAAATTTCAATGCATAAGAAACTAAATTATATAGAGTCACATATTTAAATCCTTTGTAGCTAAACCACATATGGTCATATTCAAAAGCATGGTCATATGAACATCAAAAGAAAGTAATCAGATGGTTCTGAAGGTCTAATTTGAAGTCATATGAAGATAACACTATCGTAACAGTAATTGACTAAAGGTCATTATCCAGTGATAATCATGCCCAAGGCAGGGTACTCGACGCGAAGACTTGAACCCGTAATCTCAATCTTCACTGATAAAACTTTTACCATCGAACCAAACAATGGCTTCTTTTGACCGTGATTTAATAAAAACTAAAATAAATCTTTATATTTTGTTTGGAGTGAACCCAGAGGATAAAGTTAACTAGACTCCTAAAGATTGCTTTTAAAGTAAGAATATATTATAACATAAGCATATCGACAGAAAAAGTGAAGCATAAATATGAAAGTTGTGCTCATGAACAGAGAAAAGCAGAGCAAATGATATTATGCTGAAAATATCCCTAGGAATCAGCAGGAACATTGTGGCCCCTCAGCTGCAACAAACTGATATCATATTTTGACCCCACTGATAGGAGACTAGTACATCATTTTCACCACAAAACTTCTTCTATTTTCATGAAAAGGGAAAAAAAATGATTATTTGTTGCCAACCTTTAGCGCAGTCTCTTTGGTGACAGTAAGCGAGTCCATTGCAGCCAGTCGAGGCTTCCTCTGCAAATTATCAATGGAACCGGGAAAAAAATGTAGTTAGTGATATATCATACTAAATTTTTCACCAGAAAAGATGAAAACCCTTCAACTATAGTACAAAAAACAATAAAGCTAGAGGAAGAAATTAAACTATGATTTTGTAAGTGATGGCATAAAGCAAAAAAATAATAAGAAAAGGGTTATTAAATTTAATGCAAGACACACGTACACAATATCACACACATAAACACACATACAAGTGAGATAATAGTTCTTTTAATAATGGGAAAAAAAGGTATTCTATCAAAATGAGTAGAGAAATGAAGTAATGCTTACAAGGAGAGAACTTTCAGGCAATTGAATGAACAAAAGAAGCTATAGGAGAGGTGTGGAAAGAAAGTTGGCAATGAGAGGATGAGAAGAATGGTGCAATAGATAGGTGAATATATAGGACAGCATAGAGAGAGAGAGAGAGAGGTAGAGGAGAGAGAAAACTAGAAAGAGGGGGGAGGAGGTCACTTTCAGAATTAGCTTTGTTGTGGAAACAAATATTTTTAGGGGAAATGATGAAAATATTGGTGGAGGAAATGGAAGTAGAGGTCTGGTTAGAAGAGTCTGGGCCACGAACCGAGTCACGAATTCCATTGAATATCTCTGAAAGTGGGACTTATTGCCCTGTGAAAGTGATATCCTCTCATTCTATAACATTTTCCTTTCCATGTTTGTTACATGAATACTGATAAACTCTTCTCAATTTCACTTTCAGATTTGATTTTTTCCTGAATTGCTTCTTATATATACGTCATGAACCATAATGAGCATAGGCAAATAGTTTTTCCTAGAACAATCCAAAATAGCAACATTTTATGGGACACACTCAGAACTGTTTTTTTCTTCATATGCATGGTATGATCTTTTAGCATAATGCAAAGGCTTAGACAATTGGGAATGAACTGTGAACTAGTGAACTAGGAAAGCAATAGTTAAGCAAGAGACTCAGCAAGAAACTAAAAACACAGGTTAAACATATGATCCAAATACACAGAGACATATATTATATGTCAATGCTTACTATACTTTACAAATGGTATTACTAAATCCCTACTTCTCAAAGAGAGGTCAGGGGTTCGAGCCTCAGTGAAAGCATGTGTGTGTGAGTACCAACTAGGAAAAAAAATAACATGATGGTGATGACTGACATCAATATTAATTCGTATAAGCAATTCAATGTCTTAATTTCTCTTTTTTTACTTCACACACACACACACACATATAAATATATATCATGTATAGAAGCATTTATGTATCAGAATCTAAATGATTAGGAATGATCTTTTTGCATAATGCAAATACACAGAGACATATATTATATGCCAATGCTTACTATACTTTTAATTGTTTTTATTCAAATCTATATATCATTTATGCACCAAACCCTTGTCATTTCTTGTCAATCAACTGTATAAATGGCATGATGGTGATGACTAATATCGATATTAATTCGTATAAGCGATTCAATGTATGTCTTAATTTCTCTTTTTTCTCTTCACACACACGCACACACACATATATATATATATATATATCCTTGTATAGAAGCATTTATATATCAGACTCTAAAAAGATTAGGGATGAATGAAATTAACCATGCATCAAATATAGCAACAAGCTAGCTATATAACCTATATGTGATCTTTAATTTGATTCAAAGAATCAATAGACAGCTAAACTTTTATTAATGCAAGGTAAATCACTAACCATTTTATTAACAAACGTGAACATATATATATATATAATGTATGTATAGACTAAGAAGGCAAAAACAAAGTTTTCAGTATATATGAAAATCAATAACAATTATATATCAAAATATTGATTATCACATGCTACAAGTTTTGCTAAAAATATATTTCTTAATCCTACTGAAATTCATCCTATCCTTTTCTTTTTTCTTTCCAATGGACAGGAATCACTTCTGCTAAGAAAATTGCTTTTCTTTTTTGGGAAGTATAGTAAAAGAACCACTTACCCAAAAAAAAAAGTCTAGTAAAAGAATTGTTAATAAAAAAAATATGTAATTAATATTATTCAACAAAATTTGGGTAATTTCTTGTATCAGTTTGACCACAAGGGTATGATAAGGGCAAGATCATGAGCTCTTTTTTCTAATAATGGAAATCATATAATTTATATATTATATTATATAATTATATATAAAAAGGCATGCTATATGTTTGAACTTTTTCTACTACCTTTTTTCTGTATATAAAGCCATGGCATACTTTGTACATACAAATACAACACAAACAAAATTGCTGAATTTTATTGCTAACAGAAAAGTAAAAACAAATTAATCAACAATCATTACTATAAATTTTTGTGCACATACACATATATAAGACTATAAGTACTGAAAATAAACAAGGTAGGGTTTAACCTTTTACGGAATTTGGTGACAGAGAAAAACACAGATTTTGGAATGTTGCTCGATTCTGGTGACCGCGAAGAACGTGTATCGAAAAGCTCAATTGGCATGGTAGGTCGGAGAATCACTCGAGTGGAGTCACCGGAGACTAGAAAAGCCGGTGAAACCCTAGTGTCAAACTAATGATGACCTGTTAATGGCCATTCAAATATATGTTTCCACACTGTAGACCTGTTTTTTCTCTAAGGTTAAACTGATGCGTCTGAACAATATTTTTGTTAATGGAACACAAAACCCTAGATAGTATTGACTACAATGCAGTGCAGAACAGAAGAACCGTAGTGGAGACTGGAGAGAGAAGACCCTGCATGAGAATAGTGTAACAAAGAAAGTCTTATATTATTATATATATATAGTTTCAGACTTCGATTGAACGTGACACTATCACAGTTCAGCTGCGAAACTATCTCCTGATAAATTTCCAATTCTTTCTCTTTCTCTTTCTCTTTCCTAACTATATTCATGGATTGCAGGTTCCCATTAGTTTGAACTTTTCTACTGCCAAAGGGTACCTCTGTGGACTGTGTGTGTATATATACACACACATACATATACACTCACAATATATATATATATATATTAATAGAAACTTTAGGCCGTTAAGTTATCTAACTAATAAATTAATTAATTAATTTTCAAGTAGTAAAATTGATGAAACTGGTCAAAATCGTTTGACTTGTCAGCTGTAATCAACTAGTAAAATAGTAATAAAAAATATTTGAAAAATTGACTGTTTTTATGACCTTTGGCTAAAACTTTGGACAAAGTTAACAACAAACTATTCAAACACTTTATCTAAAAAAAAAAACTATTCAAACACAGTAACACAGTCAACTTCTTTAAGGGATAGTTGGACGAGTCTCTAGCAAAATTGAATAATTCCAAAACGTTGACCAATTCAGATTCAATCCACAAATATTCCAGCTGTAAACCATGCTCTCTCTCTCTCTCTATGCCTCTCTATTTATACACACACACATATACATACGTGTGGGTAATTTTGTATGTGAAAAGTATGTATATATATGTGTGTGTGATTTTGTATGTAAACCATGGTCCCTTTTTGTGAAATACTGAAATGGCATTCAACAATAGTGAGTGTATTTATCAAAGAGGAAAACGATATTTAAATTGATGAGTTAACGTAAAAATTGAGCCGAAAACTTATTTACTTCTAGATATATTTCAAAGTGAAATCTTTTTTAGCACTTAAAACAAATCTAGTAATTAAATGAAAGCATTGGACAAGTGTTTAGGTGTAAGTTATGAGTAGCATTTTTCTTATCAAAAAGAAGAATTGGGGCATTACAAAAAGAAAAAAATAATAAAAGTATATAATTATATACACTTAAATAAATAAAACGATTTTTCGCCCCTTCCTCCTTGAGGTGGTTGGTGTTTTGGTTCTTGCTTTGTATTTCTTTGTCTTGTTAAAATAAATAAATAAATAAATAAAACCACTCACATTATGTGACAAGTAAGATATTTTTAGAATTTTGGAAAAACTCAATATTTTAAATTATTTATTATATTATTTCTTTTAACAAAAAGAATCAATTATTCTAATTGTCTTACTTTAAGAATTTAAATGAACCGTGTCAAAGTTGGTTTAATACCTGTTATACTAAAATTATCTAATTTTAACTTTATTTTGTTTAAACTACGCTAGCCTTAAAAATATAAAAATTATAATATTTTCATGTATCGAAGTTGTTAGGATTAGAAAAACATTTGACCAAATCTAGTTTAAAATAATTTCAAGATTTAAAATGTAAACTCAGTCCCAATTCCATAGTCTCCCGTATCTTATCTGCTTTTGTAAAATTTTCGAGTGGGAGTAGGTTAGACCTACCCAAATCCCATCCTTAATATGTGACATAAAAAAGTATATATGTGTGTATAATGTATATAAGTTATGTGTCCATACGATGGAGGACTTATGAAAAGGAATAATGATTGGAACTTGATTTCAGGAAAAGAAATAAGAAAGGAATGATAAGGACATGAGCATATTACACTAGATAAAAATGACGTATCAAATCAAACATTAGTAATGTCACTCTCAAGTGGAACTATCAGTAGGGGTAAGTTGTCTTCCACTGTGCCCAATTCCATTGTCTTGCACACTGTGTATAGTACACTTTTCTGCCACTCCTTTCACCATCAATTTTTTAGGTTTTGATGTTATCCTCAACCAGATTTATATAGTAATATAACTATGCAAACTTCAGATAAGGTATGGATTTGAATAAAGGGTAAAGTGGGAAAACAGCCATAATATATATAATATAAGATATGTGTGTTATTTATTCAAAATATAAATATTTACCATTTACTCAAATCCATACCTTATCTGAAGTTTGCATAGTTATATTACTATATAAATCTGGTTGAGGATAACAGCAAACCCTAAAAAATTGACGGTGAAAGGAATGGCAGAAAAGTGTACACAGTGTGCAAGACAATGGAATTGGGCACAGTGGAAGACAGCTTACCCTATTGATAGTTATAAGTCCGATAAGTTAAAACAAAATGAGTAAAGAATGATTTTTTTTTTTTTTTTTTTTTTTTTTGACCTTTTCCTTTTAAAATGTAAAGAAGGACTCATGTAGAATATATATAAATCCTTTAAGTTTTAAAAATGAGCAAAGAATGGTATATAAAATTTAAAAAATACTCTTATTTCTTTAGATAATGTCCTCTCTCTCTCTCTCTCTCTCACACACACACACACACACACGCGCGTACATTGAACTGACGCTGGGCATATCAAGTTGTCGTTATTGTTCCATTACTGGTGGCAGTGATGATGATGAAGAAACCCAAAAAAGAAAAGAAAAAAGAGTAATAATATTTGCACCGATTTGTTGCAGTAAATTACTTAATTGAATGTTGTTGATTGATTATTTGTACACAAT